GGACATTATACCGTAAAATTCCTATCAAACGCTTCCAGGGGCTAAACATTTTCCAAAAGGGGGGGGGGGGGTTATTATTACACACACGTTTTTTCCTAAATCCAAAAATCATTGAAATACATTTAGTGTTAACAAGTGTTGGTAATAACATTAAAATGTGTTAAGAATTTACTGTTCATGTGATACATTTTTGTGTTTACTATGAAATAAAAAGAATTGATAATGTACGAAGAGGTACATGATGTTTTTCTTCACCAGAAAGGTTAAAATGTCATCATACCATGTTAACAGTGCTGGCATGACTTTAAGCCCAACCAATCAAATGTTATAATCACACAGATCCATACAAAAGCATAAAATCGTATTATTCCCCAAATTCAAAATATTTTTGATGCGATGCTATTGATTATATTATATTCAATGTCCTAACTATGTTATGCTATTGATTATATTCTATTCAATGTCCTAACTATGTTCTATGATAATTTACAAAGTGAATTTTCATCAAATTAACAAGGTTTCTTTTTTCTACTTATTCTATGAAAAACTAGCTTTAATTTTGTAATATTTAAGTGTTTTTAAAATTTCATAAATAACTTTTTTTACCTCCTCTATGAAGAACTCTTCTTGTTTTGGCTTTGAAGCCCTTTTAACAAGCTCACTGAAAGGTAATGACCTGCAAAAACAATTTCATAAAAACTGATTGTGTTAATCATGCACGAGTGACATCAAAGAATATCGTGAAAGTTTCTGAAAAATTATTTTCGTCACATGACATTGCTTGTTTTCAAGGTAACATAATCAAGACCTATTTTATTTATATAACAAAATGTTCAAAGCAAAACAACATGTCAATAATCTTAATGTTATTAAAATATCTGATGTATTATTAGAAATGGTAAGGTACACAATTTTAACTTAGCCTGTAATAGTAGAATTACAAGTTCTGTTTATATACTAGTAAATGTATAAAATCATTACATATCCTGACCTATACATGAAGTTTTTGTTGATGAAATCCATCTGGGCAGTCTTGGACACGTGTATTTTTACTTCTCTATCTCCGCCTTTCTCTGCCAGATATTCCGGAGTCCATTTCTCCCGACAAAGTCCAATATCAAGTCCTCTTAACACAGCAGGTTCTCTCTATTATGAAAATATATATGTGAAATATTAGATAAATACTAAGGGGATATTGTATAAATGGACTATTCTGATGTGTTGTATCACTGGAGCTGATTGTGAAAAGTTGTATTTCAACTTCGGCCGGCAATGCATGAGTAAATTATATTATTAATATAAAGGGTATTGAATGAGTAAAGTTTCAATACAAAATTTATTGACCAGTTGAATCACATGAATATGTAACAGTTAAGTCCCCCGCCTAAGGGAAGTTTTTAACATGAAGCAAAAAATTGTGCTATTTGGATATATACATGTATGAATCAAGACTTTCAGTGCAAAAGACCATGCTAAGCTTTGACCCCCAAATGTGACCTTGACCTTGAAGGTAGGGGCCGTGTGTTGCGCATGACACATCATCCCGTTATTGTGAACATTTATGCAGAGTAATTTCAAAATCCCTTGAACAGGTTAATTCAAAATCCCTTGAATGATAAAAAAGTTATGGACCAGACAGACCATGTTGAGCTTTGACCTTCAAATGTCATCTTGACCTTGAAGGTAGGGGTCTCGGTGTTGCTCATGACACATCTTCCCATTAATGTGAACATTACTGCCAAGTAATTTCAAAATCCTACCATATTAAGCTTTGACCTTGACTCCAAGTGTGACCTTGACCTTGAAGGTAGGGGTAGGGTGTTGGGTATAATAAGTGAGACAAGCCGTCCCATTATTATGAACATTGTGCCAAGTAAATTCAAAATCCTTTGACCAATGAAAAACTTATGAACCTAACACAAAATATACCCTTTTGCAGACCATGTTAAGCTTTTGACCTCCAAGTGTAACCTTGACCTTGGAGGTAGGCATCTGGCTGTTGCGCCACAACATGTCTTCTCAATATTCTGAATTTTCAAAATACTTGATGGATGAGGAAGATATGAGAAAGTGCAAGAACATTATAAACATTGCTCATGTTATGATACTTGTGTACCTATCACAAATTAAAGAAAGGATATAAAGGTTATCTTGAACAAACAATCATACTGCACATTCACTGATTTATCAATTCATCAGAATTCTTATCAAACCAACATACATTCTTATTTATGTTGTAAACTTAAAAACTGGGAACAAAGTCTGAAATAAAAGACATAGAAAGAAAGGGGAAAAAATTACAAATCTGTGAAAGTACTAAGTCTTGCTTTAATAAGAAAAGTCTTAACTGTTTTGGAAAATTAAATACATTGTTTTTGGTGATATATGACAAATACAAATGAAGAAAAACTAAGGTAAGCAATAATTAATTAAAAATCAAGGTGAAAAAAAAATACAATAATTCAAACTTAAGTTTATTGTATAATGAGGCCACCAGATTATACACATATTACAAATTACAAAAACAATTCATTTCTTTACATGTAAAATATTTTTAAATAATGCAATCATGGCATTTAGTCTGTTACTGATAAGATAACTTTCTAATGATTTTAAATTAGTAAAATATGTTATAAATAAAAGACGTCTGCATGAATTGTATCACTTCCTGATCCCCTCCCCTCCCCCACCCAGGCAATACCGTCTCACCCCAGCAACACTGTCCTACCCTGGTAACATTTTCCCTCCCCGGAAACTCTGTCCCTCCCAGCAACACCATCCCTCCCTAGCAACACTGTCCCTCCTGGCAACACTGTCCCTTCCCAGCAACTCTGTCCCTCCCTGGCAACACCATCCCTCCCCGGCAACACTGTCCCTCCCCAGCAACACCGTCCCTTCCAGTCAAATCTGTCCCTTCCCAGCAACACTGTACCTCCCTGGCAACACTGTCCCTCCCTGGCAACACTGTCCCTCCCGGCAACACTATCTCTCCCCAGCACCACCTTCCCTCCCCGGCAACACTGTCCCACCCTAGCACCAGTGTCCCACCCTAGCATTTTACACTGTCCCACCCCGGCAACACAGACACTCCCCAGATACTTTGCTTGTGGGGGTATAATAATTATATGAAAATCTTTTTTTTTTTAAATTCAGATATACATGTACCAATGTCCGTCAGATGAAATTCAACAATTATGGGTGCAAATATACAACCAACTGTTAACTTTGAACAAACAACTGGAAACACAAACAGCCAACCTCAGAAAGAAATACCTGGGACCTCAAAGTGTCAACCAAAGAAAGAAATACCAGGGACCTCAAAGATCCAAGCTAAGAAAGAAATACCTGGGACGTCAAAGAGCCAACCTCAGACAGAAATACCAGGTCCCTCAAAGATCCAAGCTAAGAATGAAATACCTGGGACGTCAAAATGCCAACCTCAGACAGAAATACCAGGTCCCTCAAAGATCCAAGCTGAAAGAGAAATACAAGAAAATCATGAACTGCAGAAGTCACTTGTTGTGGCAGCCATAGATTTTGGGACGGTCCATTCAGGATTTGCATACTCTTTCAGGGGTTACGAGGAAAACATAAAGTCAGCACAACATGGAGGAATGCTGCAGCAAGACAGAGTGCCCACTGTATTGCTTTTATACCCAGATAAATCATTCCATTCATTTGGATACGAAGCACAGACTAAATTCTACGAGCTTTCTGAACCTGACAGATCCCAATTTTACTACTTTGAGAATTTTAAAATGAAAATATATGAGACACATAAAATTAAAAGAAAAATGGAAATAAAAGATATCTGTGGAAAACCATTTAAGGCAATGAAAGTATTTGCCATCGCAATAGCACATTTAAAAGAGGAAGCATTAAAAATCATTTATGAATCAAAGTTCGGACTGCAGGACACGGATATTCAATGGATGATCACTATTCCTGCGTTATCATCTGATTCTGCGCGTCAGTTTATGCGAGAGGCTTCGACTGAAGCAGGAATTGTTGAATCACGTCTCCGTCTTGTTCTTGAACCGGAGGCTGCCGCTGTATACAGTACACCCCGAATAATGCCCGAGGAAATACCGTATGGGTTTAAGTATATACTTGCAGATCTTGGTGGAGGTACATCAGACATATGTGTTCAGGAAACAAGAGCAGGTGGGAAAATTCAAGAAATCTGCCGTGCAACTGGAGAGGGTATCGGTGGCATTGATGTAGATAAATGTTTTATCAACATGATGAAAGATTTAATGGGAGAAGAAATATGGACAGAATTTTCATCAGACTATTCGTCAGCTTATGTAAGCCTTCTAAATGAATTTAGAACAAAAAAGAAAGAGTTTAAATCAGACACAGATTCACTGAAGCTAAAAATGGAAAATGCACTGGTGCATGTCTTAAGAGGTAAAATGAATAAAGGCTTAGAGGATATAATTAAAGAGTCAACATTTACTGGAAAACTGGAATATCATTCCATTGAAGCTCGACTTAAAATCAACAAACAGATGCTGGAAGAACTATTTACACCATCAGTTGAAAGAATCATTGTAAAGTTGATTGAAATACTGGAGCATTGTGGGGATATTGAAATCGAAACAATAATCTTAGTTGGTGGCTATAGCGAATCGCAATATCTAAGGGAGAGAATTCAGTCAGTGTTCAGTCACATGAGAGTTATCCTTTTAGATGATGCTAGACTTGCTGTATTAAATGGGGCAGTGATGATGGGCTGGAAACCTAAAAACAGCATACAACATAGGTCAAGATTCACCTATGGATTTGCCACGAAGGAGCCATTCATAGAGAATGGGGATCCAGAATATCTTAAGGTTATAATTGATGGAGACATTTTTTGTGAAATGGTATTCAACAAGGTGATACAAAAAGGCGAGATGCTAACGTATGGACAAACATTCACATACACAGTGAGCTGCGCAGCCTGGGAACAAGAAATGAAATATGATGTTATATATATTGGACTATGGAGATCTACTCTAGAAGATCCTCAATATTGCATAGAAGAGGAAGGGTGCTACCTGGTTGGAGAGATAGCAGTAATACCTCCACCAGAAGGATGGCCAGATTACTGGGAAGCGGTTTTACATCTTATCATAGGGGAGACCGAGTTCACTGTGAAATACTTTGAACTTGATACAGGAAATGAGCTGGAAGCCAAAATGGACTTCCTGTAATATAATCAAAAAAGAAAAGGAAAAATATGGACAATTTTTTACACACTAGTTTTAATGTGTTGATTTATTTTTCTGGTCATTTGAACTCACTGATTTAAGTACAAAAGTACATTAATGTGTTGAAGAGAAAATACTGTTTAAGTCTGAGTTCTAGTGCATGAGAGATAATCATGTATGTTGCACTTATTCCATTATTACTAACAAGCTGTTAAACTTAGTCAAAGCAAGCCTGTGATCCTAAAAAAATTATATATGATAATAAAATTGTCCGCATTGTGATTAAATTTGATAATCAATTTCAAAATAATTAATGTGTGCAATTATTTAATTGTAGTTCAAGTATTATAAACCACAATATAACACCTATAACCTAACCCTTGCAGAAAAACATAAATATTGAAGAAATAATACTGGGAAAAATCATAATGTTAAAAATAGCTGCCGACAGATTCCAATTCTAGCCATATAAGGTAAAGGGTCAACTCGGCCCTATACCAACTCGGCACGGGTCAACTTGGCCCTCTATTAAAAACCTATTAGGATATAGATTGTTTAGTTTATAAAAAAATTTATGGAGTAAATTACTATAAAAGTATTCAGAGGTATCATAATTATGATCACTAACAAACAGAAAATTAATGGTTTTGTCGTGACGCAGCTCATATCTATGATCCATTTAAGATTGATTAGCCTGTGATAGTAGAATTTCCTCTGGCATCTAAGTGGAAACCACTGACCTTCCATGAACTAGTTGGAATGATTCCTCACATGAAAGAATCCAATGTATGTGATGGGATTCTCACCCACGGCAGCAAGTGGTTTTAAGTCAGAGACGTTAAACATTTGCTCACAGACTCAAATAAGCACATATGAGCTGTGTCACGACAAAACCAACATAGTGGGTTTGCAACCAGCATGGATCCAGACCAGCCTGCGCATCTGCACAGTCTGATCAGGATCCATGCTGTTCGCTATCAGTTTCTGTACTTGTAATAGGGTTTGTAAGCGAACAGCATGGATTCTGATCAGACTGCGTGGTTTTGCCGTGACACGGTTCATATCTATGATCCATTTAAGATTCATTAGCCTGTAATAGAAGAATTTCATATTTTGTTTATATACTAGTAAATGTATAGAATCATTACATATTCTGACCTATACATGAAGTTTTTGTTGATAAAATCCATCTGGGCAGTCTTGGACACATGTATTTTAACTTCTCTATACCCGCCTTGCCAGATATTCCGGAGTCCATTTCTCCCGACAAGGTCCAATATCAAGTCCTCTTAACCCTTTCCCCCATGAGCATATTGTGAAAATTGGCCGTTTTCACTGAAAAGCCTCCTGTTACAAGTTCAAACTGCTATGAAACTATGAAAAATGCTTCAATACTAATCAAACTTGGCATAAATGTTGACTGGACCATTGCCTTTGTAACAACATGCTCAGTCTTAAATTTCCTGTTACCATGGCAACGAGGGGACATCTCAAAATTGCCAAAAATCACTATTTTGCCTCGATTTTTTCCATCAAAATTTATTTCAAAGTGCTGCAACTGCTCAAGGGATTGAGATAAAGTCAAAGGATGAGTTCTAGTGTATGAGAGATAATCATGTATGTTACACTAAAGCTAAAAAGACTTCAGCAAACAGGTTTTATAGTACTGCTAGCCCTGTTTATCCATTACTTTACTGTCGCACAACTTCAAAATAAAAGCAACATATAAAGTTATGGAAGCCAGAACTAGCCATAGCCATATAAAGACTTTATATTTAGTATATAGCTTAAGGAGCCTTATCGCTGTGGTTCATTCATATAAGTTGACATTTTACCATTCAGATTATGTTCTATTTGTGCCATCTTCACTCTACCTTGCATATATGACTTTGAGTAGATGTTGTCTTGGGCATTGAATAGTTGTTATCTTACTGCCCCTTGTCAAACATCTAGCATAAATGAACCATTACCTTCACACAGTTTTTTTCTTATGGCAAATGTATGCGAAAGCAATTATAAAAAAAAATGTATCTCAAAAGTATGCTGAGCTAATCTGGGCCGAGTTGGTATGAGGCCGAGTTGACCATCCGAATATGGCTTTAGACGAATTCTAGTAAAGATTAGCGTTATTTCAAAAACCCTGTTATCGAGATTTAAATTAAAAATCGTTTTTACAGATCAACATACCTTAGTATATAATTCATTAAATGTTTCTTGACTGACATGTTGATGTATGTCAACAGTTCTTGGGCTTGTTTTCATTTTTGTCAATTACCGTCTGACAGGTGCGATAGGAACGGATAGCTCCTATCGATTTATAACAAAGGAAAATAAAATTGAATGTCCTTTTTAAAAAAAGGTCAATGAAAAATAAAACAAACGATTTTGGAAAAAATCCATACGCCAAGACCTTCTAAAATATTTAGATAAATGTATAAATCTAGGCTTTCTGTAAAAACCTTGACTTTGGCGAAACTATTCTTTACTATCTATACATTATTCGGATTTCCTCTGTGTTTTTCCGCAGAATGCAAAAGAGGAAATTAGACAAAATTATACGAAATTATATCGTGTTTATTGAAAGTATTCTTGAAAATGCATTAATGTAAGTATACATAGATCTAGTGTGATATTTAAATAAAATATTTTGACTACTGTACACAGTATAAGAAAAATAATTTTTCTCTTGAACATCCGAATGGTTTCTGTATTTTTTTCGCCTTGCTAGAACTTATTTTCATTATCAGATAAATTTATACAGTTATTATTATTATCTGTTAATATGAAATCGGTCCTACTAAACACTGCTAAGGACTGCTAAGGACCGCTAAGGACTGCTAAGGAGCCACAAAGGACTACTAAAGAGGCACAAAGGACCTTAAAATACCTCCTAGGCCATTCTTATATTACATGGTATTATTTTTAGTGAAAAAAAAATTATAATTTTAAGAAAAAATATGATTTGGGTGAAAATTTTATGAGTTGTCGGACCGCTAAGGACTGCTCAGATACACAAAAGACTGCTAGGGAGGCACAAAGGACCTTAAAATACCTCCTAGGGCATTCTTATAATACAAGGTAGTATGTTTAGTGACAAAAAATGTATTATTTTAAGAAAAAATATCATTTTAGTGATAAAATTTATGTTTTTGAAGAGTTGTCGGACCGCTAAGGACTGCTCAGGTGCACTAACAACTGCTAGGGAGGCACAAAGGACCTTCAAATCCCTCCTAGAACATTCTTATAATATATGGTAGTAAGTTAATAGACAAAAAAATATTATTGTAAGAAAAAAATATAATTTTGGTGATAGAATTTATGCTTTCGATGAGTTGCAGGACCGCTAAGGACTGCTCAGGTGCGAAAAGGATTGCTAGGCAGGCATAAAGACCTATAAATATTTCCTAGGGAGGCACAAAGGACCTTAAAATAACTGTTGGGGCATTCTTATAATTCATGGTAGTATGTTTAGTGACAAAAAATGTATAATTTTAAGAAAAAATTTCATTTTAGTGATAAAATTCATGTTTTTGAAGAATTGTCGGACCGCTAAGGACTGCTCAGGTGCACTCACAACTGCTAGGGAGGCACAAAGGACCTTCAAATCCCTCCTAGAACATTCTTATAATATATGGTAGTAAGTTAATAGACAAAAATGTATTATTGTAAGAAAAAAATATAATTTTGGTGATAGAATTTATGCTTTCGATGAGTTGCAGGACCGCTAAGGACTGCTAGGTGCGAAAAGGACTGCTAGGCAGGCACAAAGACCTATAAATATTTCCTAGGGAGGCACAAAGGACCTTAAAATAACTGTTGGGGCATTCTTATAATTTATGGTAGTATGTTGAGTGACAAAAAATGTATAATTTTAAGAAAAATATCATTTTAGTGATAAAATTCATGATTTTGAAGAGTTGTCGGACCGCTAAGGACTGCTCAGGTGCACTAACAACTGCTAGGGAGGCACAAAGGACCTTCAAATCCCTCCTAGAACATTCTTATAATATATGGTAGTAAGTTAATAGACAAAAATGTATTATTGTAAGAAAAAAATATAATTTTGGTGATAGAATTTATGCTTTCGATGAGTTGCCGGACCGCTAAGGACTGCTCAGGTGCGAAAAGAACTGCTAGGGACCTTAAAATATTTCCTAAGGAGGCACAAAGGACCTTAAAATACCTGTAAGGGCATTCTTATAATACATGGTAGTATGTTTAGTGATAAAAAATGTATAATTTTAAGGAAAAATATCATTATAGTGATAAAATTCATGTTTTTGAAGAGTTGTCGGACCGCTAAGGACTGCTCAGGTGCACTAACAACTGCTAGGGAGGCACAAAGGACCTTCAAATCCCTCCTAGAACATTCTTATAATATATGGTAGTAAGTTAATAGACAAAAATGTATTATTGTAAGAAAAAAATATAATTTTGGTGATAGAATTTATGCTTTCGATGAGTTGCAGGACCGCTAAGGACTGCTCAGGTGCGAAAAGGACTGCTAGGCAGGCACAAAGACCTATAAATATTTCCTAGGGAGGCACAAAGGACCTTAAAATAACTGTTGGGGCATTCCTATAATTTATGGTAGTATGTTTAGTGACAAAAAATGTATAATTTTAAGAAAAATATCATTTTAGTGATAAAATTCATGATTTTGAAGAGTTTTCGGACCGCTAAGGACTCAGCTCAGGTGCACTAACAACTGCTAGGGAGGCACAAAGGACCTTCAAATCCCTCCTAGAACATTCTTATAATATATGGTAGTAAGTTAATAGACAAAAATGTATTATTGTAAGAAAAAAATATAATTTTGGTGATAGAATTTATGCTTTCGATGAGTTGCCGGACCGCTAAGGACTGCTCAGGTGCGAAAAGGACTGCTAGGGACCTTAAAATATTTCCTAAGGAGGCACAAAGGACCTTAAAATACCTGTAAGGGCATTCTTATAATACATGGTAGTATGTTTAGTGATAAAAAATGTATAATTTTAAGGAAAAATATCATTATAGTGATAAAATTCATGTTTTTGAAGAGTTGTCGGACCGCTAAGGACTGCTCAGGTGCACTAACAACTGCTAAGGAGGCACAAAGGACCTTAAAATACCTGTAAGGGCATTCTTATAATTCATGGTAGTATGTTTAGTGATAAAAAATGTATAATTTTAAGGAAAAATATCATTATAGTGATAAAATTCATGTTTTTGAAGAGTTGTCGGACCGCTAAGGACTGCTCAGGTGCACTAACAACTGCTAGGGAGGCACATTATTATTGTAAGAAAAAAATATAATTTTGGTGATAGAATTTATGCTTTCGATGAGTTGCAGGACCGCTAAGGACTGCTCAGGTGTGAAAAGGACTGCTAGCGGTCCGGCAACTCATCGAAAGCATAAATTCTATCACCAAAATTATATTTTTTTCTTACAATAATACATTTTTGTCTATTAACTTACTACTATATATTATAAGAATGTTCTAGGAGGGATTTGAAGGTCCTTTGTGCCTCCCTAGCAGTTGTTAGTGCACCTGAGCAGTCCCGTTAGCGGTCCGACAACTCTTCAAAAACATGAATTTTATCACTAAAATGATATTTTTTCTTAAAATTATACATTTTTTGTCACTAAACATACTACCATGAATTATAAGAATGCCCCAACAGTTATTTTAAGGTCCTTTGTGCCTCCCTAGGAAATATTTATAGGTCTTTGTGCCTGCCTAGCAGTCCTTTTCGCACCTGAGCAGTCCTTAGCGGTCCTGCAACTCATCGAAAGCATAAATTCTATCACCAAAATTATATTTTTTTCTTACAATAATACATTTTTGTCTATTAACTTACTACTATATATTATAAGAATGTTCTAGGAGGGATTTGAAGGTCCTTTGTGCCTCCCTAGCAGTTGTTAGTGCACCTGAGCAGTCCTTAGCGGTCCGACAACTCTTCAAAAACATGAATTTTATCACTATAATGATATTTTTCCTTAAAATTATACATTTTTTATCACTAAACATACTACCATGTATTATAAGAATGCCCTTACAGGTATTTTAAGGTCCTTTGTGCCTCCTTAGGAAATATTTTAAGGTCCCTAGCAGTCCTTTTCGCACCTGAGCAGTCCTTAGCGGTCCTGCAACTCATCGAAAGCATAAATTCTATCACCAAAATTATATTTTTTTCTTACAATAATACATTTTTGTCTATTAACTTACTACCATATATTATAAGAATGTTCTAGGAGGGATTTGAAGGTCCTTTGTGCCTCCCTAGCAGTTGTTAGTGCACCTGAGCAGTCCTTAGCGGTCCGACAACTCTTCAAAAACATGAATTTTATCACTAAAATGAAATTATTTCTTAAAATTATACATTTTTTGTCACTAAACATACTACCATGAATTATAAGAATGCCCCAACAGTTATTTTAAGGTCCTTTGTGCCTCCCTAGGAAATATTTATAGGTCTTTGTGCCTGCCTAGCAGTCCTTTTCGCACCTGAGCAGTCCTTAGCGGTCCTGCAACTCATCGAAAGCATAAATTCTATCACCAAAATTATATTTTTTTCTTACAATAATACATTTTTGTCTATTAACTTACTACCATATATTATAAGAATGTTCTAGGAGGGATTTGAAGGTCCTTTGTGCCTCCCTAGCAGTTGTTAGTGCACCTGAGCAGTCCTTAGCGGTCCGACAACTCTTCAAAAACATAAATTTTATCACTAAAATGATATTTTTTCTTAAAATAATACATTTTTTGTCACTAAACATACTACCTTGTATTATAAGAATGCCCTAGGAGGTATTTTAAGGTCCTTTGTGCCTCCCTAGCAGTCTTTTGTGTATCTGAGCAGTCCTTAGCGGTCCGACAACTCATAAAATTTTCACCAAAATCATATTTTTTCTTAAAATTATAATTTTTTTTTCACTAAAAATAATACCATGTAATATAAGAATGGCCTAGGAGGTATTTTAAGGTCCTTTGTGCCTCTTTAGTAGTCCTTTGTGGCTCCTTAGCAGTCCTTAGCAGTCCTTAGCGGTCCTTAGCAGTCCTTAGCAGTGTTTAGTAGGACCCATATGAAATTAGGCAAAGCCTATGAACGGGGAAGTCGGTAAAAATCCTTTCATTTTTCCGTTTTAAAGGTGTCATTCGGTATTATATGTACCCACTTCCGTTTTCACTCGGAACACTCGACGATTATTATAAATTAATCCGAAAAGTTGAGATTTGTTACGTTATCGGAATACACCGCCTTTTATCATTGAGTTACATTGTAAATGGCGGCGCCTATCTAGAACTGACACTGAAAATTTCATTGATAGGTATAGAACTCTATATATTTTAATTGTTTTTTATTTGAATTTTCTTTTAAATATACACGTGTAGTCTATAGCCGGGCAAGCCAAAGCCCGGCCCGCTTCGCGGGCCCGGACTTTGACTTCCCCGTATGAGGTTTCTTTTTAACACAGCAGCATAGAGCTATATTTATCATGGTTTTTTTCACAATTTGGGAAAGCAGACCTGCCCTTAATTTTGGGGAAAAATTAAACGGTATAAGGGGGAAGAAAAAACTTGATATAAATTCAATTTTTGGGGAAAACTGCATGAT